GGAATTGATATATACATGTATTACTGTTTTGAATAGTCTGCAGAAAGCTACTTTTTCCTACCGAGCATTAATTTTGTTGTTGATGTACATCTCTTTATCATGTAATTAGGAAATGTATGTATTTTTTGTATTTCATTAAACATTTATAGTGAAATCTATTTTATGCTGAAATCCTTATTGAATGAAATTTTGACTGTCTGAGGCGGCAAATTTTTATAATTGGCTATTTAGTTTTTACATGTAGTTAAGAAATTTATGTATTTTGTTGTATTTCATGAAACATATGTAGTGAAATCTATTTCATGCTGAAATCTTTATTTAATGAAATTTTGACTGTTTGAGGCGGCAAATTTTCATTAATATTATTTTATAATTGGCTATTTAGTTTTTACATGTAATTAAGAAATTTATGTATTTTGTTGTATTTCATGAAACATATACAGTGAAATCTATTTCATGCTGAAATCTTTATTTAATGAAATTTTGACTGTTTGAGGCGGCAAATTTTCATTAATATTATTTTATAATTGACTATTTAGTTTCTACAAAAATAATTTTGTTATTGTTGTGTACCATAATTTTATAAACTCATGTCATGCTAACTTGAAGTAGCTCAAATGATATTATTAAGCATGGATGTCAAATATGTCGTATGTACTAGTCAGCATTGTTTTTAAAAAATTTGACATAATTTTTATACAACAATGTATTATTCTCATTATACATGAATATAATTTGGCCCCATGATACTAGATGCTCTTTTGTAAATGAAATTTGCTTCACTCAACAAAATCCAATTGATCTACAGGTTCTAGAATTTGCTTGTCTGGGCGGGTATAAAGTTCTGAATTCTCAGATCTTTATCCTATGGCGTATTTTTATGCCCAGATAAAACATAATAACATTTTATTGTGTACTATTTCTAGTCATAACAAAATCTAAAGGTGCACTGTATAATTTATATACCGGCTTTAATAAAAGCCCAATTACAACTTACTCATTTGTTTGTTTTTATTTATTATGTTTAACAAGCTTCGCAAATTCTAGAACCTCGTTTTATTGGACCACTTGCTGGCCATAAATGAATTTTATGCAGTAAAATATTTTATGGACGAAATGGTCTCTTTTTTAAGTTAGTGATGTACAACAGCCGTTGTCCGTATTCATCTTTATCAGTTGCTCAACGTGATTTGCCTGCGCGTGCTTTCCCTGAGCATGCGCTCTTATTAGCGTCACTGTTGTAAACAAAAGAATTCATATACTTTTGTCAGCTTTAATTTCACGATTTTCATCGTAGCATTGCTTTTACCTCCTCCTCCCATTTCCTCCACCTAATAACTAGTGTAGATTATTTTCAATGTCTAAATTTTATTCTTCATGTTAATTTTGGCATAATCAAATATTTTACTTGTGACATAATCAAATATTTATTGTTACTGTATGTTTTGTGATTCTAGTCTTATGCAAGGCGTATTTTTATGCCCAGTTAAGCGTATTTTTATGCCCAGATAAAACATAATAACATTTTATTGTGTACTATTTCTAGTCATAACAAAATCTAAAGGTGCACTGTATAATTTATATACCGGCTTTAATAAAAGCCCAATTACAACTTACTCATTTGTTTGTTTTTATTTATTATGTTTAACAAGCTCCGCAAATTCTAGAACCTCGTTTTATTGGACCACTTGCTGGCCATAAAATATATATATTAATTTATTACACAGTCTATTAAGAGCATTATAGGATGTAACTAAACCACGCGCACATACGCTGATTAGTTTAACAAATATAACGAACAGTCAGACGATATAAAAAAAAATCTTTTTCAAGTGTATAAAGCTATATATATCTGCTGCACAACTTATTGTTTTAATTTTAATAAAGTTAAACAATACTTCCAAACGGCTCGTATGAAAGCAGTATTATAGTGCATTAACTTATTTTTCTTAAATCATGTAATTATTGCTAAATGGATAAAACCCTTCTTAAATAGCAGTCTAGATTTCTTGTTCATTATGCATGTATCCTAAATAACAAAGAAATTCTATGTTACAACTCTATCGTCAATCGAACTAATGATTATTGAAACAACATAATCTTACTGTTGATTAGTTTTATAAAAAATCAAAACAAAAGATATAGCTTTAAAATTTTACCGTTAGATAGATACAATTGGTTTTTCAGTTTTTTTTTTAAATTGATTACTTCTTATTAGCTTCTAATAATTTCATTGACCATATTTAATAAATACATGTATTTTATTCGTATGATAGGTTTAATTGATTCGGCGCTTATTCAGGCTAATCTGATCGTTTAAATATAAATTACTACAGAATGTCATTTATAAGTATGTTCAGAAAACGTATTAAACAGAACAAACAAATAAAAAAAACAAAAACAAACTAACCAAAACGAATATAGAAGACACGGATATTATATCTAGAATATTTACATAGTATACACAACTTGTTACTGTTTTTATGTGCAAACGCCTCCAATTTATAACATAGTTTATTTCAAGTATTCCCCATACTTAAAGTAACTTCCTTGTATATTTTTTGTGTCAAATGTCTGATATTATTTGAAATAACTCTATCTACCGGTACCAGACGGTTCAATCATAATAGGAAGGCTATGTAAAAGCTTTGCCCAAAACTGATTGTCCCTATACTTGATGTACACATGCGTTTCCATGTAGAATTTTAATTCCTTGCCAATAAGATTGCTGTCTAATTCCTCTAACATAATCAGCACCATATTAATATTCCTGTCTTTCAGAAACCTCATGTGAGCTTCACGAAACTCCATGTTACACCACGAGCTTCTTAGGAAGTTGTTTGAAATGGCAAGCAAAGTTGTTTGACTGGACTCAATGGCATCGAGTATATTTTCAGATATTGTTTTACCTGGTTTAAAGTTTTTCTCACCAATACATACCCTATATGGTGGATGGTGGTTTTCAAGATAATCAACAATGATTTTAATGATTTCATCGTCCTCACATGAATGAGGGATGAAGATATCGAACGACAACTGGCGGAGTTTTCTCCTTCGGCAGAAATACCTGCATATATCAAAATGTGATATCATGAACACTTGTATACTTTTAGATTTACGCGACAATATAACAAGAATAAGAGCGACAAATACAATTGAGCCAATCACGGAAAGTAGTCCGTTGATGTTTGTAAAAGTTTGGCAAATAAATAAAGTGTCTGGTACTTCATGAATTGGCTTGCCTTCACCTGGACCAGTTGCGCATTTAATGTTATTCCGTCGTAAAATGTACTTTTTGTTTGAACGAAGCCAAATTTTCATCCATCGTGTATGGCAATCACAAATGAATGGATTTCCATCCAATGCTAAGACCTGTCCATTGCTGAAATTAAGGTGTTTAAAAGATCTTGGTATCGTTTCAAGTTTATTATCATTTAATAATAAAGCATCGAAAGAGGCACCTTGTATCATGTCAACAAACGATGTTTCTATGGTTGTAATTGCACATTGAGATACATCAAATTGTGATACGTTACCAAGATATTCTCTGGAAGAAAGTTTTGTTAATTTGTTAGATTTAATATTGAGGTTTATCCTTTCAGCATATGGACATGTCATTGGGAGATTATTTTCAAAATACTTTTCATCACAGTGGATGGTTACGAGGCCGAGTGCTTCAGTTTTGTTGCATATACATTTATTTGGGCAATTGAGTTCAACAGAACAATTAAACTGATTTTTTGGAACTTTGCGTAGCATCATTCCTGCCAGACTTGGAGGATTTCCACATGTCACTGAAAATAAATGGTTGTAAGGATCCATGTGTCTAAACCTTCTAAGCGCGTCTGCTAAAGGAAAAAGTGCACAGTCACAAATAAACGGATTAAAACGCACGTCGAACCCGCAGGCCCACAGTCGTAATAATTGCATTGTATCTGTGATGTTCAATAGTTGGAAATAATATTTGGTGTTAACAGTTGTCAAGTTATTATGGGTTGCAATAATGCTTATAGAGGTTTGAGTGGTGAAATCCTTTATCGTTATGTTTGCCGAATTAGTCATTCCTGTAATAAAGTTCCATGATGCGTTTATAACTAGCCTTGTATTATGAGACAGTTTCAGTTTACTTAGTAAACTAAAGTCTAAAACTGTTAGACTATTATTAACTAAATGTATATATTTTATGCTCTTCATTTTTTCACTGAATGTTCCATTTTCCACATATCTAAGGTTGTTGTTTCCAAGGTAAAGATATTGAAGGTATTGTAAGCAATCAAGATTCCCTTTTCGCAAGACCTCGATGTTATTATTGTTTAGTAAAAGATGAGTAAGTTGTTGGCAAATGCCTTCGACTCCTTCAAATGTAACTTCCGTTATAGCGTTGTACGATAAATCTAAATACACAAGAGTTCCCAGTATATTTAAATACTTTGGAATACTACTTAAATGACTGTTTCGTAGCAACAATGCCTCAATATAATAGCTGGTCTCTAAACACTCTTTAATTTGTGCATCAGTTACACCATTTTCTATCCTCAGTACTGAATATCTTTTAGAATAGTAACGGTTGCATTCAAATTCGTCCAGCAATCGCTTCTCAATAACAGCCAAATCATTTCCTCCAGAATACTCGACGCACATAAGCAGTGTTACTAAGATGAACTTGGCCATTATTTGCATATCGCTTGTCTTACATCCAATTGTTTATTATAGACGATACTGATTGTCTTTGCCTGTTTATTCATCACACGCCATCACTTAATTGTTCTTCATTTTCGCAGTTAACTTCCTAGAAACAAATAATGCTGTTTATTTAACGAGTTTCTTGAGTGAAAATATTGCAAAATACCAGTGAGATAGTCATATCCCACTGTTTGGAAAGAAATGCAAATTTTTAAGAATTGGTTTGAACAGATTAAAAGCGTAAAATATAATTCTTGTGCGTAAGTGCAAGTCTATTTGATTGATTTGACTTTTAAAATACATAAAGATATATAAAACAAGTTGGTATTTCGTAAACAAACTTAGTGGATGAGTATACTATTAAATACAAAGAATTCACACACAAAATAACTAAAGTCAAACAATAGAACAATGGAAAAAAAAGAAATTGCATTATCAATTTATCCGTAACATATTAAAAAGTAGTCTGTTTAAGTGTTATTATTAATCGAGAGTTAGTAAATAAATAACAAATAATAGGTTTGTGAATAACAGTAACCATATCATCCGGATGCATTAGTCGCAGCAAAAAGTATTTTCAAAAGAGATGCTTTTTTGCTGTTACTGTTTTCATACCCCAAACAAATACTTTATCCGGATACTGTTTTTTTATTTGTTCTATTTTTCAAATTTTGACTATTAAAAAGTACTGTTAGTTATGCAACAGTACACAAGTTTTAGTCACATGGTGTTGAATTAACAGTAATAATGACTTTCATTGATATATAGGAAATTAACATTGCACAAATAGTGAGGGGTAAAAATGTCAATAATCACACACCCGTGCCGATTTTGCGACTCCGTAAATATGGTATTGCACGGCCGTGCATATATTTTGACGTGACGTCATTAGCGTTATGCAAACATAGTGTAAAGACGCGCTTTATGTTAGCGTTCTACTGTAGGCGCGTCAACGGAAAATGACTCTTATTTCACTTTAAACGGTCTTTATTTTGGGTATGTGATAAATAGAATATTAAATTCGTGTACGTTCATTACTGAATTTATTGCACTCGTTGAATAAAATAATATTATGCTCGCCAGAGGCTCGCATAATATAATTTTATTCAACTCGTGCAATAAATTCAGTATTGAACTTACACTCATTCAATATCCTCTATTTATTATTCACTGACTAGTAGATAAACTACGATATAGCAAATTATCAATGGAGATTGTTTAGAGCAAGGTGTCTACATTTACATTTACATCAACAGTTTTGATTTACATATGCTTTTAAAGTATAAATATCAATCTAGATACTAAATATAAATGTCAAAAATACCAAGCAGATGTATCAATGCGATAAAACAGAAAAAAAATGGAAGAAATTAGTTGAACCATATACAAAATATTAACATCTATAAAAAGAACTTTAAATACATCAAACCACATTTGTTTTAAATCATGTGTGCTAAAATCTACAACTAAGGTTTTTTTCTTCATTTATTATCAAACATTTACTTATTTATAAACAAACATATATTATGATTAAACAATTATATTCATATGAAAAATAAAACGTATATAAAATTAAACATACCTTTTTGCAGCTTTTCATTTAATCAAAAAGTCAAGCACTGAGCAAAAATCCCTCATATAACAAAATATCCGATCACATCAAGAAAAATATCTAAACCAAACTCATATTTGTGTTTGTTATACCACTTATGTAAGTTTGAACTTCCCTGATCAATACTTGAACCTGTTCTATATAAGTGCTATGTAAGTGTTTTATTTCTTAATTAATATACACTTTGGCGTTGCCTTATTTTTCTGCAGTATTCTGATCTTGCAGCTTAACGAATATCTGTGATAAATGTCCAACAGTATATGCAATCTAGGTTAGAAATAAGAGTGCACACAATAGTAAGCTTCAGGAGATAAAGTTTGCATTTACAGCAGTTTTGTGTATATCTTTTGTACATACAATTTTAAATCAATATTAAAATATATGATTTAATGTTGGTGATTCAGTCAGTAGATATATTAAAAATTTGTCTAAAATAAATGAATTGTTTTCAAATTGTCCTAATTATTCGATGGACAAGTTCATTTAACATAGACTAAGAGTTGTTTCATACAGAACTACGTAAAGGGTAAAAGAGTAAAATCTCAAAGTGTATCAATAGGAAGTATATATATTTTCCTTGTGGAAAATCGTTTCGCTCATTCAGTTACATTCAGTATAATTATAAAAGGTTAATCTGTTAAGAGTACAATCTCAAATTGTGTCCACTGAAAGTAAACATATTTGTGTAGATCGTTTCGCACAGTTAGTTACATTCAGTATACTAATAAAGATGGTAATCTGCGTTTGAATAAGATCGCGTTAATGTTCGCACCGTTGTTGTTACAATGTTTTCTTGTGCAATGATCGGAAAAAATATCTAAATCTAACATGTAAACACCCCCTCATCTTCCACGGAATTGTCTTTCATGTACAGATGTGCTTAAAGAATAATATCCATTGAGAACAGTGAAAACATCATTCAGTAGATAACATAGCATCATAGGTTTTATTAGGTCTGTTCAAGGAAGATTTGTTGAAAGTGCAACATCTCTCACGCCCATAGCATCGGCTAAATATGTATGTTATTCTCAACTCTAAAAGTATAACAATGATTTCGAAGTACACCACGGTGATAGGGCGATTACCACAACTTTTCCGCGCAACGTCAAAATATCTTACTTCTGTCCGAGACACCGTATATTTCTGTGGTACAAAATGGACAGCAAGTCTGTAACCGAGACGAAAACAGCAGATAATTTGCTCAAAACAAGGTAAAATCATCAATTTTTCTTTTTCATCGAATGTGCCATTCAATTTGAAACTTATTTATCCTTACTACATGCAAAATGCTTCATTAATTAAGTCAGGATAGTGAAAACATTTAGGGCATACTGAAAAAAATCTTGCTTTGATTACGAAATATAACGTATTTCTAGTCCGTTCAGTTCATATAACTGGCCAAAATACAATATAAATATGTACATTGTTGTCGTATGAACAAGTTACAATACATAACTAACCCGTTTTTTTGTATATTTGGTACGATTTTTATGTTTTCACGTGTGTATTTTAAGGCACCGCACAACTTTGTCAATCATAAGATTAGGGCACCGCATTCTTCTTCCTTAAAATCACCGCATTTTTCTGTTTTTTAACACCGTTTTTTTTATATTAATGTTTGCTTTCAGAAAAAGAACACGTTCAAACCTATGTCTGAACAAGCCAAAGCAACGTGCGAAATTTGCAAAGCTGCATATACTTCCAGAAGATACTGCAGCAACTGGAGAGCGCCCAACTAAGTCTTCTGATATCAGCAGTACGCCAATGGATCAGCGCCTCCCTGTATTTCAGGACGATATGCTTAACGCACCACATAAGAAAAAGAATATGAAGTCAAACTTTCGCAAAAGATTGTTTAATAAAAGCACATTGGAGACCATGACTGAAGAGATTATGGAAATATTGCCCGGGTTCCTGCAAAAACTACACCATGAAAATTTATGTTATGACTTTTGCAACTTTATCAAATTAGTATGCAATAAGAAATTCCCATTTAAAAAAAATTTCATTCCTTTTTTTTCTCGATGTTGTTAGATGGTATAGTCTGCCAAGAACTTCAATCTTTCCATGTGGGGTTTATCAGTTTGAATAAGTTCGAAAAGGAAAAGACATCCTTATCTATATATAGATACCATTGCACTTATCTATAACTGATAGTATTAACACAGATCAGACCTTCTGAAATTTTCCATAACATAACGTATGATAACAGCAACATAACGTAACAGCAAGTAAACAATCTTTCATCAAATGAAACATATTTGTATGAAGATTGCATAATTCAAAAGAAGACGGTGGCCAGTATTTATCGGTCTAACGGAAAAGAATGCGGTGTTTGAATTCAGTGTTGTACGGTGCTCCAATATTCGGGTCAGTAGGCCTTTTTTCAACATATATTCCCTGAAATTTACGATAGAAACACACAATTTTGTATGGAACTTGAACTTAGGGTTAACCATAATAAATATACGAGCTCGTTAGGTCATAGAACAAAGACATCGTCGTTATAACACACGTTTTTGTGACAGGTACGAGTCATGTTGAGGTACACACGATCTTTTGTAAACACTATTTCTTCGAAGTATGTGTTTTTTTGTGAATTGTATTGTGCTAGATTAACGATAAATTGTCTCAAAAATTCGATGGAATACTTAAACAATTGGAATAATCTTGCAATGTCCAGCAGTAAGATATTTTGTAAGCTATAACCTGGAATTTGTTTATCCCGCCATTAATATTTTGTCCAGAAATATACGGTGTCTCGGTCAGAAGGATGGTATTTTGACGTTGCGCGGAAAAGTTGTGGTAATCGCCCTATCACCGTGTACACGTATCCTTTTGTCGGTTGATAAATTGATATAAATAAGCCGTTTGCATGGACTACAAGAACTTTGACTTTTGTACAATGGGTACAATTATTCTTATGCTAAACAACTATCAAGCACAGTTCCATAAATATAAGCTTCGGTCGCCCCTTGTTTATCCATTTATTTGCAAAAGCCCGCATTAGAGTGTTCTAATTAAAAAATCTCATAAACACATAATTTGTTAAATTTCATTTATAAACTTGGTGTTTTGTATTTGTTTACTCCTTCTCTTGGATTGGTATAGAAATGGTCGCAGTCCGTAAAAAATAACATCATTATATAAAACGCATTTACCCTTTCTACAACAATAACTAGTAAATAAAAAATACGTATTAATTTCTGATGCCTAATGTAGTTTTAACTTTATTGATGGTACTTGTTCATGTTGGATTTTAAAGTAATATAAAGGTGAAGTGGAAAATATATCACAATCTCGATTGTAGTAGCTTGTACATCAAAATCAATACAATAGACAAAAACAAAGAAAACATTTCAGCAAATATGTTATTGAAGCTTCGATGTGTATTACAAATCAGTCATATCTTATTAAATCTTTAAATATGTGTTTCAGTTTGATCGCCGAATCACTAGTTAATTGCATGTTGTTTGAGCAAATATGTTATTGAAGCTTCAATATTTATTTTCTCCGAAACAGATGAATAAAGTCGACGCAATTTTGTTATGGCACGTTGCGTGTAAATACAACATTTATCTTAAATATTCTGCATGTAATTGTTGCTATATAAAGAACAACAATAAACTCAGAACTACTCGTGAACTAATTATTTTTGTTTACCATATTTTTTTTTATTATTTCAATGATATGTGAAATATGCAAAATATTTTTATAAGCAATCATTAGTTCCCCTAATTAATAGGTTTATAAGTGGAATTAACTGCCATTTACTATTACGTAGTGACTTGACAACTAGTGGTAGTACTTGTCTGTTTCTAAAGTAGGTTGGTCTATAATATGCACATTTAAACGACAGAATTGCATATTCTTATTACGTTTTTTTTTCTTAAAATGTTGAAGATTATTTATAATGAGATCTAAATAAATACATTTTCTTTCTAACAATTGATTATCTGCTATATATAGATATGTCATAACAAATCATGTATCTCACACTTAACAAACACAATCCAAATGAATTGCCTCAGGATTTTATGTGTCTTATGATACTAGTTTAACTATTTAAAGTACATTGTTTTACAGACCTTTGATTCATTTTAAGTCACATCAATATACGATCTGCACAGTACAAACAATACTATAAACACACACCAGTGAAAATAAAAACTGAAGAAAACTTCCTTATCAGTATGAACGAGAGCTGCATAAAACGGGGTTTTAGATTAACAAAGACAATCAACAAAGAATAGACATTATAATAAAATAGCATTACACTTAATATTTAAATCGATGTTTTATTTCTGTTTATACTGAAAAAGAAAAACAATTCATGTTACTTGAACAAAAGTCCAAATGAAACCATATACATGTACTATAATTTATATGGAAACACATATAGTCAACTAGAGGAAACCCTTAATGTCACTCACCCGACACGATTGATAATTGATAAAAGGCTAAATTTGATTGCACCTTGTAACGCCTTATTCTACCGCTGCCGCATTCAAGTGGCATATTTCGTTTATGAAATAATTTGTTTTTGTTGCAAAAATGGCCCGCTCTCACCAGGTATCATATTATATTAAACACATACGATTGTGATAAGTTATTTTGTTAGGTTTACAAAATAACTGTAATATCCAAGTCGTCATTATCGACATCAAAACAACTTCTACAATAATCGCTCAAAATTCCTCTCACCACCATTGTTACCACAATCATCATCGCCATCATTATAATAACCACTATCACAACCATTCCATCTTAACCACCATGACTCAATCTTCATTATTATAATGTACACCTATTATCAATTCTAAAACAATCAACATGAGCATCACTATCATCATCTGTACCACCAACATACCCACCACCACCATAATCATAACTTTTATGATGATTATCATCATCATCATAGAATAAATATTAAAATCACTTTCCGACACAAGAATGCTTTTTACGAATGCTTATTAAGAATGCAGTGAAACACCATTTCATTACAAAACTGACCATGTTTATACAACATAGCTGTTATGTGCCGTAACAAAGCTTGATTAAATGAAGGTTTACATTTTAAAATCTTGTCATAAGTAAAACGTTATTTATGATATAACAAGTAAATATAGATTGATATACTAAGGACGATATAAAGTTGTTTTTTCCTCGAACATTTGCTTGCTCCTCATTTGACGTTGTTAATGGTATATATCAAAATAATTATGAGCATGTCTCAATGCTTATCTGTATGATTGGTGCCTCTGTTTTCAAGTTGATAAGGTTGCTAACTTGATCCTTACCTCTGCAGGGTATTAACATCATTTAAGGGATATAGATTCTTTAATTTACATGACAATGGTTCTGTTGAGTTAGATTACGGATAGTCGGTGGCTCTACTGGCGTGCCTGATTAATAATATTTGTCATATTTTGCGGTTCGGACCGGAATATCCGTCCCGAGGGGACCCGCCCATTGGGCGGTAACGAAGCTTGCCGAGTTACCGCCCATGGGCGGGTTCCCGAGGAACGGATATTCCGGTCCGAAATGCAAGCATATGTCAGATATTTTTTCTTACATATTCTGCCATATTATTTCATATTTGAAATAGTTTACCTCAATATGATATATGTGCATGGAATTTAAAGCCATTTCATCCATAACTATTTTCTTACAATAGCGTATGAACTTACAACTTAAATAACAACGGCGAAATGACGTCATCCTAAGCACATACATGTATTTCCCTTCTAAAACGACGTCATTTTAACGCGGTTCATTCATAAAGTGCGCTAAAATGACGTTGTTGTTTGGCACGCGACTCATCTGGCACCCGCATGCCAGATGAAATTTCCGGCATGGGTAAAACTCATGGAAACGCCAGTCTGCTATGCAAGAAATAATCTATAAAGACGAACATCGAATATTTTTCAATAATTACTGTAGGGAAGTGGCTACATGGCCCGAGTCACATTGATGTAATACAAAATCACGTTAATGCTTTGCATTTTTAAAAAAAAATGCATTCCATATCTGACAGTACATTTTAATATCTGAATCAAAAGTTATTTCTTTAATTTATAACCATCAAAGTAACGAATACATTTGCTTCATTTTTTGGTCCGCCAGTTTTATGTATGGGAATAATTGGTGCCTCAACGTCTTATCTTGAAGCACAATTTATTTTTTTCCAAGCAAATATTGGTATCATTCTTAAATCATTGGAGATCAAATCAAATACAAAGATAAACAATTACCGAGAGACGGTATTGTTAGAGATTAAACCAAAATGTTGTTTCAAAGGGAAACACGAAAGCTAACAGACGCAGAAAAAATGTGTATTGAGGAACCGTTTCACTGTTACTGAGTTAATAGTTTTCTTTCATTATGAGGGTTTATATTCTATATATTAACTTATAAAATATTGGAAAAAAAATATGAACTGCTCATTTGAGTGCATTGCCAAATGTATTTATACATATGAAGAGAATATTACGTTAACACAAAAATGAAAAAGATTTTCATCAGCTTTTGTATAGATAACACCTGAGGGAGGTGGGTGGGGTAGGGGTGTTAATACAATGACATGTTAAAGCATCTATCGACACCATATTTTTGTACTCTGTATGATTGTTCTTTCCAAAGCTACGTACATTTATTGTAAACTATTACATGTACTACAATCTTACATTAGCGTATTATGTTACGTATTTTTATTTTTCGTTGCTGTTTTAATATAATTTATCAATATAATAACATTATAGTAAGGATTGGTTTATGGTCATGATATATCAAAATATGTATACAGCAAACGATCATCATTATTTGTAAGCTATACGAATTGAACCATTAACATTTAATAAGTGCAAATAATTATCAATTGGTTACTATGAAATTAATGCATCTGCATGATGAAATTGTGTTGAAGTGTTTAGTAATTATCTTAAAGAAAATCATACGCTATAACAGTATATGCATTATTTGCCACGCATTGTTTGCAATTTTTAATGATATAGATTTAATTTTTATTGATTAAAATATAATAGTGATATCATTTGAATAAAAAGTGAAGTAACGAAAAGTATATTCAATTGTAATTGGAAATAATCAAAGATATAGTATAATTTGCTAAAAGGGTATAATTGCCATTAGAAAAAAACGTGTTATCCTTATGCCTCCTTTTAAAGAATAAAGGACGCATTATTTTGCAAATTTCGGTCTGTCGGTGTGTTAGTCGGTTGTTTGTTTCCGCTCAATAATAATTTGACACATAGCCTTCAAACTACATAGGTTTGGTATGCTAATTAAAACAAAAACTGTTGTTTGGGGGCGAGAATGATCAACACATTTGAAACACTTAAAAAAATATGCAATGTTTGTTTTTTACTATGTTTAACTTAATTGTTAATCCGGTGTGCCAACAGTAGCATAAACAGCAGCAATTATAACAAAAGAACAACACTTTATATTCCAATTACAGCGCTTTATTAATAATGAAGTACATGGGCATTCATACTATATTTTACATTCAAGTTTTTTTGTAGAGTTGAAACTATCAGATAACAAATATATTCCTTTGACAAATGTTGCCATATCATGCTCCTTAACCTTTTACCCCATGAGCATATTGCGAAAAATGGCCGTTTTCATTGAAAAGCCTCCTGTAACAAGTTCAAACTGCTATGGAACTATGAAAAATGCTTCAATACTAATGAAACTTGGCCCAAATATTAACTACACCATAGCCTCTGTAACAGCATGCTCAATGGTAAATTTCCTGTTACCATGGCAACGGGGGGACGTCTCAAAATTGCCAAAAATCACT